TTTTTATGCGGCACTCGCAGCCGCTACTGTAGGATTACGTTAGCTCAGTAAAGCTGTTCCTCTCAACTCTGTCTTGCCTGACTCTTGACTCGGGAATCCTCCTGTTGTTGATACAACAACGGACTGTCGATAAGCTATTCTAATATCCTCGAAGTAGGGACGCAACATGTAGCAGGCAACAAGGCTAATGGTTAAATACGTCCCCCTGGCCAAATCCGCTAGTTCTTTCTAGTGCCAGTCCAATATTGTATTTTTAGAGCGCAATGTAGTGCAACCTTAAGAAAGCACTTTATTGGCAGGGAGATCAAAGCATTCATACCCTTGTTTTTGTTAACCCCCACGTAACCCGGCATTTGAACCTTCATTATCTGGCCCCTCAACCCCTCAATCAGTTACCGTCTGATGAGGGATATTTTATTGTACCGGACGTTTAACCCTCGAGCAAAAAGCTTCGCCCGACCTTTTGTGCCATGGTTAAATGTCCATCTCCACTACAGTCTATTAGTTAGTTATGCAAATTATATGCGCGCTTTTGGTTGAGAGGACATTCTAAAAGCCAGCACATGTTTTAGGTTTTGACTGTGATTTCGTGTGGAGAAAACCGCAACAAATGAAGATGGAAGAGAGATGAACACTTTTTCTTTCAAATTAATTTCACTTCATAAAACGGAATATTGGTCTTTGCGTTTAAAAGGTCGATCGAAGTTGTAGACTTGAAGCAGTCACACAGAAGTCTGAGTAAATTGGGCACTGGACGGTTTCTCCATTCTGTTGGTAGAAAAAAAAAAACAATATATGCCGGTTTTAGGCGGGTTAAAACATGCTCGTTCGCTTGTAAATCGGATAGTTAAGAAACGACCAGTGGCTAGGTATCGATCAAGCTCAAACGTATAACAGTTCAAGCTTTGACACTCGGTGATGAACGTTCACCGACCGCTAACAGAACTCATTTGTCTTGCTCCACCTTTGCCTTGGGCCTTATTTTCGGGCTCTGACAGCAGTTGTAGCCGCTAGTCGTGTGGACAGAGACTGGAATGGACCTTTCTGGTTTATTAGCCATCATCAGCCCCATACCCGGCCCCAAATGATGCGTCACTTGAGGCTCGAACTCAAGTCAAGCTTGGTCCACATTCGCCCCACGGCTTGAACTCGCTCAGTTACAAGTACGCGAAGTCACGGTCCAATCAGCATTTGGTTAAACAACTGCCGCACAGTTTACTGCGCATTTTTTTCTGCTAAATATAAATCTGGAGTGGAGAAAATACAGTGCTGTCAAGGCGAGTTCCCGAAAGCAGCTCAGAAGGAGAAGCTGCGATCGCTGGTGCCTTAAAATAACTAAGGATTTACTCATGCCATAAAGACTGACGCCGTTAATTCAAAGCCACGGTCACGTTTTATGACCAACATCTAAAATAAAGACATACAACAACAACAACTCAAGGATAGGGACTTACGCGTGAAATAATGGAACGCATTGTTTGTAGACAGAAACTAAACCACTTGACTGAATCTATTTGCACATCGTCTGGGGAACAGAGGACTCGAGCCGGCCAGCGACCCGTGCACCGGAGATGCGTAAACTAAATGCTTTCCGGGCATTTCTGTAGAGATTACTTCAACTTTGGTGATAGGCGCAAGCATCCGGTTTGCCAGCTTGCGACACCTAAGGCTTAGGGAGCTTTTTCGGTGGTAGTTGCTGCCTTTCTCCGTCGCTGCCGAGTTATTCGTCAAGTTTGGACACATTTGGTACCTCTCCAACGCCCCGCTACCTTTTCTGGCCGGAAAAGCACCCGGCGGCGGGTAGGCAGCTTCCAGGTTGTCCAGTAGGGTTGACACAAGGGAACAATTTACATTAGTGCTCTTTGGCAGGATGTCAGGTAGAGGCGATCGAGCGGCCCCAAGCGGTGACGGCCGGCCATGGGGCACCTTTGACTCGAGTCGCACGCGGCCTGGATAGTCTTTTGAAGGCCCATGCGTGAGTACCTTGGGTTTGGGCGATTGGTGGACTGAAGGTGAGGGCGTCTTCACTGGTCTGATAGAAGCCATTTGGCCGGGAAATTTGGCGGGTAACAGCCTTGCTGGGTTAGTCGGCAGAGCAGATGCGAGGTTGACAACGTTGACCTTCTCAGTCTCGGCCTTGTGTTTTGCGTTTTCGCCATTATCAAGTCGCGGATAGTGGGGGGAAGTCCACAAGCGCAGAGCCACCTCGTTGGTGGTAGCTTTCCGGTTCCTTGCCATATCCAATGTTTCGTAGTAGAGGACGGTGAAGGAGGGCGGCAAACCGTAGTTTATGACGGCCTCATCATCCAGTAGGGGATTCAGCGAGACGGTCCAACTGCGCTGACTTGTCTGAGATTCCGTGTAACCACACAGCAGGGGAGAGATGCCCTGTAGTGGAAGAAGCGGCTTCCAACGTCTTGCTTTTTCAAAACACTCGACGCTGATATCTACAAAGCAACGTTAAAAATAACATTACTGTTCACAACTCGTCCGTTTACGGAGGAAGCAATAGCTATAATCCACAGCATTAACATCACCGTTCTAGTTTGTGAGTTAAGCGTAATTAATCACCAAATAAATGTTCAGGATAAATGTTATCTAATAGCGAGTTAATGGTAGACTACTTATCACTCAGACAAAAGCACGGCAGTGTATTTAGAAGTCTGATTGACTACCCTTCTTTCTGCTTGAGCTATCGAGGAATGGACAGGGAATTTGGAAAATTATAAAAGGTATTGATTAAAACAGCGGTTTGCTTACGCCACAAGAAGTAATTTACAGTATTTCTAATGAAATTTAGGTTAGTTTGCAATGGGCTTTTCATATACTCTACGTGTGTATTCGAGTTTATGTAGAATGGATTACGAGGCATGCGCATAAGCTGGAAGTTGACCATTAGTTTAGTGGGTTAGAGTTAAAAATCTTCAATTCCAAGGAACTGGTTGCCTAAAGACAGGAAACTTCCCATTCGGACACCGGAGCACGTATGTAAATGCACAACCAGAATTAAAATACTCATTTTTGTCTAAACTGGCCATATACCCATGCCTTCTACACACCGATCACGTATGTAGTCGGTATTTGCACGTCGTTTGGTTTAAATCCTTACAAAATTATGAATATAACGGATGAACCTGCCTTTCCAGTGACGCTTTCAATAATAGTAGCAGAAAGGGAAGGTATGATTGAAAATGTTAGAATGCGCTGTATAATCGTGCCTGCTCTCTGCTATGAAGGTCTCTTTAGTTGGTAGGTTATGTTCAGAAGAGGCCGTCTGAGAAGGAGGAGATTAGTTGACTGTCTCTGAGCCCTTTTATCTGATGTTGTCATAATTTCCGGTCGTTTTCGACGGCAATTACTTCCTGTCTTTCGTAATTATACAGTTTTTTTTCGAGAAAGTCCTCCTCAAGTGAGGAAGTTTCCTTTTCATTTGGAAGTTATTTCTGCACAGCAGCATTGAACCTTTTAAATTTGATTCTTCCGAAGAGTTTAGATTCAATGACTGAACAAAGGGGCAAATCGGGTACCACAATCTACTTGTACACATTGTAATGAGCCACGGTGGGCTTCGGGTGGGTGAAAGCCTTCTCTGTATTGTATGCTTAAAAAATAAAGTCATTTATGTAAGGCCGCGTTGTCAAAAAAACTGTCAAACCTGTTGAACTGGATGGAGGCGTAATGCGTGTTCTTCCACCTAATACGAAAAACCACGGCCACAGTACTTACATAGTCGAATTAATGTAGGAAAAGAAGTTAAGGCTTGATGCAGGCAGAAAAAGACTGATCACGCGCTAAACCTGTTACTTCGCCAATTCAAGCCCCAGCAAGTAGCTGAGACGAAGTAGGCAAGAATTATATTCACCTGACTTTTCGAAATCTGTCATCGGTCCATCATTAGTCAAGAGCATAAATGGGTTTGTTTCTGATGATGGATCCGCAACAAAGTTCAAGACGTCAGGCAGAGCAACTGCTTGTCCCAGCGATCACATCTACTTCTTTTGCACGGTAACTTTGTTTTTCCTACATTTCAAATTCGTAAGGTAATTAATCGCATGAAATGAAAGCAGCAACAGCTGCTGCTATTACCTAAAGAATATTTAATTTGCTTTCCCCTACTGATAGCGCGAGCCGGCAAAGCGGTTTGCCCGCCTGCCAAAGAGCCCTGAGCTGCGGCGCGTCGTGATGCTTAAAAGGCAATCGAGATGGAAATAGGGCCGTCATTCGATGATTCATCTGGATATGCGTTTTAACAGCTACTCGAGTAAGGAATATATTTGCCGATATATCTCTTACCCAGAATCCTACGACCGCTACCGCTACTGGCAGCAGCACCACCACCACCTACATTTCAGCAGTACAAGAGGCAGCTTCCCTCTCAATTACTCTTCATATCGACGGCCTTTTTATTAAAATCCGCAAGCGTTTATACTATACCCGTCGTTTGCGTTCATATCGCACATCGAAAACCCTAATCTGGCGACTCATAGATGCCT